CTACTACTACGACTACTACTACTACTACTACTACTAGGACTACTACGACTACTGCTACTGCTACTGCTACTGCTACTGCTACCGCTACTACTACTACTACTACTACTACTACTACTACTACTACTACTACTACTACTACTACTACGACTACGACTACGACTACGACTACGACTACGACTACGACTACGACTACGACTACGACTACGACTACGACTACGACTACGACTACTACTACTACTACCTACCTACCTACCTACCTACCTACCTACCTGCCTACCTACTACTCCTACTCCTACTCCTCCTCCTCCTCCTCCTCCTCCTCCTCCTCCTTCACAAGCACAAGCGGCGCGCGTGCCCCCCATAGCCCTTTTTAGCGCATGGTCGGCCCTCGCCCCCGCCCTCGTCGCGTCATCGTCGCGTGCTTGTGGACTCCTCAACGGCGCCGTGGACACACTCCTCGGTTCTATTTGGGGTTTGCTAAGGACGAGGAAAGCTAGGCTCGGCAATTTTGTTGCTGAAGGCGTCGGCCGTGGAGCACTCTCCGAAGACAGATCGGGTCGGGTTCACGTTGTTCGGGCTCCTCTCCGTGCTTAACTGGTTCCTGCACCTGTAGTGTCGGGTCCTGTGCTTCTACGCCGCGGTCCGCCCTGGGGTGGGCACGGTGCCGAATGGCCCTTCTCCGTGCCCACCTCAGGCGTACTACCTTTTTGGGGCCTTCACATATTTTCATTTGTATTCTATTTTGTGGCAATCAATTTGTATTGTTTGGTCACTTCGCTCTCATGTTCGCACTGTGTATTTCTATTGTTCATTTCACTTTCGCTCAGTGTGGCAATTGTGGAGGTCATAGCGGAAGCGCCGGATTTCAGATTCCCTGCGCGGCCTGACGCGGGCGGCTGTTGTGAAGCTACTTGACGCCTTTGGTGGGTGGATTGTGGCTCGGCAGTAAGGTTCGGGTGGATCCTGTCTAACCGTTCGCCCAGCCGCTGGTTTCCAGCGGTGCCAGGAGATTTTACTCGTATACTCGGGTCGGCTTCCGTTCTTCACAGTTAAGCTCTGCGCTTGGTGTTGTGGGCTTATAAGTACACTCGGTGTTCAAAGGTGCATTGTACCATTCAACTTGGTTGTTCAATTTTCGCGTCGCACATAGTGTTGTGGCGCACGCGTTCAGTTTTTACGGTATGGTATGATAGTCAGCGTTGTGCCGCGAGGGACCTGAGTGGCTTTCAGCTCACAATAATGGTGAAGTTCACAACCATGTCAAGGTCAGTGTTGTGCCGCGAGGGACCTGAGTGGCTTTCAGCTCACAATAATGGTGAAGTTCACAACCATGTCAAGTACGGCGGGCAGTTCTACGATGCATGGCAGGGGACATCTCCCAGGCGGAGGGCGTAACATCCCGTACCTGAGTCAGGCTGGCGCAGGCGTGACGTGAGAGAAGGGCGCAATGCAATCGGTTGCTTCGCTAGGATCGCACTCGCGATGGGGTCCACTCCACTCCACTCCACTCCACTCCTCCTCCTCCTCCTCCTCCTCCTCCTCCTCCTACTACTACTACTACTACTACTACTACTACTACTACTACTACTACGCGACTATTACCACTACTACTACTACTACTACTACTACTACTACTACTACTACTACTACTACTACTACTACTACTACTACTACTACTACTACTACTACTACTACTACTACTACTACTACTACTACTACTACTACTACTACTACTACTACTACTACTACTACTACTACTACTACTACTACTACTACTACTACTACTACTACTACTACTACTACTACTACTACTACTACTACTACTACTACTACTACTACTACTACTACTACTACTACTACTACTACTACTACTACTACTACTACTACTACTACTACTACTACTACTACTACTACTACTACTACTACTACTACTACTACTACTACTACTACTACTACTACTACTACTACTACTACTACTACTACGACTACTACGACGACGACGACGACGACGACCACCAATACTAGTACTCCTGCTAAGAATCAAAATGGCAACTTCACCATAGCGATAGCAACCACAACAACATAAACACGAACAACTATAACAAGCTGCGTAAACAAACACTTCCGGCGGCCCACGTTAAAATCTGCTCTACTTTCGCGGCAGTGCGGGAGAGAGGAAGGCCGGAGGGGGGGCGAGCGTGGAGTGAGAGGACGAGGGGTTGTTCTTTTTGTGGCAAGACGCCCGCGCGTGCGTCGCCGCCTGGCCAGCTGTCCAGCTGGGCGGCACCTGCGCCGACGCCCCGGGCCGCGGGCCCGGGGCGCTTCCGGCACGCCGGGCGGCCTCCACGCCGAGCCCCGCGGGCCAGCGGGGAAGGCGGGGCCCAGGCGGGCGGGCGCCCAACTAACATAGCGGAAAAGAGAAAGACCCAAGAGAGTGCGTAAGAGGAGGGAGAGGACGAGGGGGCGCCTTTTCTGTGGCAAGACGCCCGCGGACCCCTCGCCGCCAGGCTGGCTGTCGAGCCTGGCGGCGCCCGCGCTGACGCCCCAGACTGCGGCCCCGGGGCGCTTCTGGCGCACGAGGTGGCCTCCAAGCATCCCGCCGAAAACCCGCCTCGAAGGCGAACGTGCCAAGTGGACGGGGGCGAAGATGCGCGGCCTGGCGCATGTCCAAGATGGGCTCGGGCCCACTCCGCGAATCAAGCGCGCAGGCAAACGAGCGGCGAGGGCGACCCCGCCTGCGCGATCGCGACCGCGCCAGGCCCTCGGAAGTCCCGGGGGGGGGGCAGGCGGCAAGCCCGCCCGCCCCCCTAGGGGGGCGCCGCCCAGCTGAGCCGGGCGCGCATAGCAGGCGGCGAGTCAGGGCGAAAAAGAAGGCCGGGGCCCCAGCGGCCGCAGGCGAAGCTGAAGCCCCCAGCTGGCGGCGGCCGGCGCGCCAAGCCCAACGTTCCGCGGGCCGCCGCGCCCCGCGCGGGGCCGCCCGAGGCGCTGAAGCGGACCGCCGCGAGGACGACTGCACGACCCGCGGGCGAAGAAGAAGAACCGCGCCGACGGGGCGGGCGGGCAGCCGCGGCGACGCCTGCGCTCGAGAAGTGTCGGCCCCTCCTCCTGCAGCAGACTGGCGGCGTCGGCGAAGGCGCCTTCCTGGCGGCCGCCGCGCCCCCTGGCCTCGCCGCTGGAAGCGCGCGAGGGCAAACGAAGCCGCCCGCCCTTCCAGGCAGCAGAGTCGAAGCGCAAGCCCGCATTGGGCAGGCCCTGCCCTACCGAGCAGCAAGCGACGCGGGCGGGCGCGGTGCGCGGGCAGCTCGCCCGCGCCCGCGGGCACTCCACGCCCGGCAAGAAAAGACGGCGCGGGAGACGCAGGACAGCCGGCAAACCGAAGCCCTCGCCCTCCCCCGTGGCTGCGGAGACGAAGCCAGCCGAGCGGCGAGGGCAGCCGCGCCTGCCCGGCTGCGGAAGCCCACGGGGGCAGCGGTAGCCATCGCGCCAAAACGATGGGGGCGCGGGCGCGGCTGGACAGCTTAAAGGCCGAAGTCCCAGGCCCCCTCGTGGCAGCGCAGCCGGGGCCTCGGAGCATCGTCGGAGCCGCGCGTAATTTGCGCGGCGCAAGCGGAATGCGCCGCGCCGAGCCGCCACCGAAGAGAAAAGCAACGCGAGAGAAAAAACTCTCGCCAGGCGCGCGGGGGCCAGCTCGATGCGGGCCCAGCTCCACCCCGTCAGGGATACAAAATGATTCGAAAATGCGGGGGCGGCTCGCGGGCAGCTCTCCCGCCCCCGCGGGCACTCCATGCCCCACAAAAACAAAGAGGGCGCGGGCGCGGCTGGACAGCCGAGAGGCCGAAGTCCCAAGCCTTCCATGGCGGCACAGCCGGGGCCTCGGGGCGCTGTTAGAGGCGCGCGCAGTTTGCGCGGCGCTGGCCGAATGCGCTGCGCCGAACCGCAACCAAAGACAAAAAACACCACGAGAAAAACCAAACAACTCGCCAGGTGCGCGGGGTCCGCGCAAGCTCGAGGCGGGCCCAGCTCCACCCTTTCAGACATGCGAGATGGCTCGATGTGCGGGGGGAAGTTCGCGGGCAGCTCGCCCACCCCCACGGGCACTCCATGCCCGGCACAGAAAAAAGCGCGGGCGCAGCCCGACAGCCGAAATGCCGATGTAGGCCTCCCCATGGCGGCGCAGCTGGGGCCTCGGGGCATCGTCGGACGCGCGCCCAGTAGGGCCCCAGCGGCCCGCGGTGTCTTGCGCGCCCAGCTCGCTCTCGAACGCGCGCAGCGGGGACGGTGTAGGTGTCCGCGTCGATCGGCGTCGACGTAGGCGCTGGCAACGGCGCCGGGGTTGTGATAGCGCGGCCCCGCGAGCGGTGTCGAAAATGTCCACGTCCAGGGCAGGGTAACCAGGTGAGGAGCAAATGGAGGCTCCAAAACAATCTCCACCGGGTGAGCAGCAGGCTGCTCCAAGACGCCAGGGGGCGCGATGAGGGACTGGCTGCGAGGAATGAGCCTGGTCTCAGACGCAACCTCGTCCAAGTGAGCTGCAGGCTGAAGGCCGAAATGTGCGGCACCTTGTAGATACCCCCCAGTGGGGGAATCATGGCAAGACCTGCTGGGCCTGCGCCACAGAGTTCCCGCCCGCTCCACGCTTGGGCTTCTGCGCGGTGTGCCAAGGGCGATGGTCACCTCCATGCGCCCACACGCCACGAGGAGGGCGAACGCGAGCAAGAGGCGCACTACGAGCCGTCGGCCGACATCCAGTGTATCCCGCCTGCCGACATTCGGCGCGCCAGCCCAGGTTCTTGTAGTGGCAGCGGTCACGTCGCCACCCCGTCCCCTGAGCCGAAGCGCCAGCTGCCCCAGCGCCGCCGCTACCGCCACCGCGAGGAAGATGCGCAATACAGGCCGAGCAATTGAAGACTTGCGGCGGACTAGCTGCTTCCAGTCGCGGAGCCCACAGCGTGCAGACATTTTGAGTCCAAATTGCTACGGAGGAGGAGGAGGAGGAAAGGGAGGAGGAGGGGAGAGAGGGGGACGAAGACGACGACGACGACGGCGATGGCGGCTCCGACTTGTTGATGTTGGCCGACTCGGTCTGGTCATTGCCCCGGATGCGCTTCGTGCGCTCCGAGCCGGCCAGGTCCGCGAACACCAGCTTCCCCTGCCTGCCTCAGGCGGCGGCCGTCGTGGGGGCGGTCGTCAAATCTATCGTGGCCGTGGTCGTGGTCGTGAGCGTGGTCGGAATCTGAGTCGTCATCGTCATCGCGCCATCGAGGAGAGAGGGGGGAGGGGGACCCTGAGATGCATGCGTTGCACTTTTGTTCACGCCCGGCGTTTTCGCCCAGCTTCTCCTACTCCTTCCTCCTTCTTCTCTCCTCACTTCCATCTTCATTTCCCTTGTCCAACAGCATCCGTCTTTTTCCTCCTCTTCCTCCTCCTCCTCCTCCTCGCCTCCTCATCCTCTTCACTGTTCTTTTTCAGCCCCTGCCACCCCTTCTCCTTCTCCCCCTCCGTCGCCGTTTCCGTCCCTCTCCTCTGCTTCCGCCTCCGCCTCCGCCTCCGCCTCCACAACCACCACCCGCCTCCTCCTCCTCCTCCTCCTCCTCCTCCTCCTCCTCCTCCTCATCATCATCATCATCATCATCATCATCATCATCATCATCAGCATCAGCATCACAATCATCATAACCATCATCATCATCAGCATCATCATCGGCATTGGCATCATCATCATCGTCGTCGTCATTATGACCATCATCATCATCGTCGTCATCAGCATCATCATCATCATCATCATCATCAGCATCAGCATCAGCATCAGCATCATCATCATCATCATCATCATCATCATCATCATCATCATCATCATTAGCATCATCATCATCGTCATCATCATCATCACCACCATCATCATCATCACAACATCAGCATCAACATCGGCAGCATCATCATCACCATCAGCATCAGCATCATCATCGTCGTCGTCATCATCATCAGCAGCATCAGCATCAATATCATTATCAGCATCTTCACCATCATCATCCACCATCGGTTTTCCTCCCACACCTCCGCCGCTCCTCTCTCCTCCCCGTCTCCTTCCTCGTCATCATCCGATCCTCCTCCTCCTCCTCCTCCCCGTTTACTTTCCCCCCCCCTTTCTCTTATCCTCTTGTGATTTGTCTTCTCCCTCCGCCTCCTCCTCCTCGTCCTCTTCCTGAATCTGCCGTCTCTGCCCGAGCGTTTTGCGCAGGCGGTGCAGACACCGTCCCGAGGGCAGCAGAGGGGGGCGCTCAGCCATCGGAGCTGGGCCCTGTGGCCCCGAGGATGCTAGAATTGATCGGTTGGAACCCACAAGCGGCCACGGGAACGAGACTTGAGAAAATTCTCACAGTATGCCTTGGGCTCGACGTCCTTCTGCTAGCTGGGACACAGGCATGTAGTCGCAGAGCACAAGAACCCCTTCAACGAAGGCTAGCAGGCAAGCTGATAGTGAAGGCCGAGTAGTCCAGGGCAGCTGACGAACGAAACCTTGTGCTGTCCGGTTGCGCTCGGGCGAGGATTCCATACTCAGACGTCAGGAGATATGGGGCAGTCCTGCCCAAGTATGGAGAAGAGCGCTTGGCGTCAGGGTCAAACGGCAGCACTTGGACTCCTGCTCCATTGCACTATACTTCCCCCTCAGCCGACAGGCAATCATAAATGTGGCAACTGCCTTACCAAGGTGCGTACGAATTCGACATGGTAGGATACTTTACTGGATTAATTACCGCACAGCTGCTGCCTGGCGACCTTTGCTGGATAACGGAACACCAGATGCTTTCGTGTCCTACCTCAATAATGTCGTGATGAAGGCCGGCCTTGGTTGCTTTCGGGAGCATGCCGACCCCACTCTACAAAAACAGTATTTCCAACGACGTGAGCTACTACGGCACCGTACTGAGCTGAGGGAAAGCGGGGCCAGGACGATGCAGAGCTGCACATCAACGAGAAACTGCGGGCCCTCTTCCAGACGCTCAAGCTGCAATGACGGCAAGAAACACATGATCGAGGCGAACTGCTGCAGGAGGAAATTGAGATCGCATGGGATGGCAGGAAAACATCTTCGGCACTGAGACTGTCTCGCAAAGCAGCACGATGCCGATGCGGGCCCCCCCAAATGAGATTTGATAATGGTTCGTATAAGTATGTCAAGTTGGGAAAAGCGGCCTCAAGTTTCGGAACTACCAGGCGGGCAGGGTAGGATGTCAGTAAGAGAAATACCTCCTCCGGCACTTCCTGAACCTATCTTTCCAGGACCGCTCCACCTACCCACCCAGGATGTCATCGACATCGCCCAGGAGGATTACTGGAGAGTCCAAAAGGCGATCCAGAAGGCCTCCAGAAGGAGAGGAGTCCCCAAGCAGATGCGCATGCGCTCCAAGATAATTTTGGTTTGTCAACGCTCGGGCCTGGAAGCCTCGGACAATCTACCTCATATGCAGTACTTCGAGGGAGCTCTGGTTGCTGGATTTCGAATGTTCAGGAGCCTCGGGCTGACCCCGACACAGTGGCAGCAGAACAACGGCGTCGCCCTGAGGAAAAGCACAGCCCACAATCCTAAAAGTAAGCCAATAATTCATCTCTTCTCTGCTCTTGGGAAGTCGTTGTATGCTAGGCTACTCCAAGTGCCCGCTGATGAGCATGCAACATGACTGTGGTTTCGTCAAGCACCGCCGGCGCGAGGAAGCTATCCTTGCGGCACAGGCTCCGGCATGTAGGCTAGTGCAAGCTGGTAGGAGTTCTGCTGCAGGCTTGAAAGATCTCTCCAACTCGTTCGGGACGGGGGAGTGGAGGGAGATAGACAAGACGATGGGTATCTTCGCGTCTTCGCTCGACGATATCGGACTGGGGCAGCATCGGCATCGAGAGACGAGAACCAACCTACCGACTACCGACTAACGACGACGACTTCTGGGTGGCGCCATGGGAGGGGGGAAAGATGGGAGATCAGTTCGTAGTGAAGCTTTTTAGGCACGTTCCAAAGGCCAATCAAGCGTTGGACTCTGGTCGACCAACACTCCACCTCCTCCGACCCGTATGCGAAATATAAATTGTCAGGAACGAGCGAGGAGCTTGCAGTCGACCTCAGTCGATTGAACTATGCGGATGACTTGCTAAAGCTTAAGCTCGCAAGGGAGTTCCAGCTTGTCTTCGATCTTTTCAGGTGCTGAAGAACTCAGACAAGATCTTGAATGAGGCACTGGACACCATTGGCTACAAACAAAACTTCGACAAGCAAGTTCTTCGGTTCGATGTGGGACAGGAAGGTTCTCTGGCATGGAGACGATGGCAAAAGAAAGCGCGCCGTCAAGAAACCGGGGGGGGGCAATCTCCAGGAAGGAGCTAAATACCTGGGCCCACATATGAAATCATCTTGACCTCATCTTCAGAAGCTCAGGGGCGTCTGGATTTGCAAACTAAGGGATTCTAGTATGTGGGTAGTTTAGGGGGGGTTCGTCTTCCACCCCCCTTCTTCCCCTTCGGGGACGGTTTTCCCCTCCCCCGTACCCCCTCCCCTGGACCTGGACGGGGGATTTCGCGAGCGGTCAGGGCGTCCAAAACGGCCTCGGCGAGGAAGCCCAAATCATTGGTTTTACTAAGGTTTTGGCCCCATGTTGGCCTGTTCGACCCGAGTCTTCCGCGCTCGCGCCCACGCGCTGGAAGGGCGAATTACCCACGCTCCGAGGCTCCACGACAGGCAAAACCTCGTCGTAATCGGCGTCGTCTGCCCAAGATCGGCCCCTGAGCCCCCCGCAGGGCCCGTCCGGACAGCTTCTCGAGCCGCGCCCGGTCGTGGCGACGAGAACCTCCAGGAGCACCCCAAAGCCCCCGAAACGACGACGAAGGTCGCCGCCGCCGCCAGCACCGTCGCCGCCCCTCGGCACCGCCGCCGCACTCGAACTCCATGGAGAAAATCGCGTGCGCCCGCGACGAGTCCCGGCTGCCCGAGTGGCCGCTGGTGTGCCGCGCGACCGCGCCGCGCCGCAGCGCCTGCCGACGCCGATGGCGTCCTCAACGACGACGACGACGACGGCGACGACGGCGACGACCACGACGACCACGACGACGACGACGACGACGACGACGACGACGACGACCACGACCACGACCACGACCACGACGACGACGACGACGACGACGACGACGACGCTAGCGGCGATGACACCGGGCCCCCCGAGGTGGGAGGGCAGACCTTCTCGCCGACGACGACGTTGAGGCGCTACGAGGAAGACGAGGACGGTGACGACGAGGAGAACGAGAAGGACAAGGAGGACGAAGGAGACGAAGACGACGAGGACACCGAGGTTACGACGACGAAGACGACGTCGAGATTACCACGACGACGACGACGACGACGACAACGAAGAAGCGACCCCGAAGCAGACGAGCGCCTCGAGCGCCTCGCCCGGCTCCGTGCAGCGCAGGGACGTGAGCTCGGGCACGTGGAAGCCCTCCAGCCCCCCCTTTCCCCCAGGGCCTCCTCCACCTCCTCCTGCTCATCCTCCTCCTCTTCCTCCTTTTCTTCCTCCTCCTCCTCCTCCTCCTCCTCCTCACCCTCCTCCTCCTTCTCCTCCTCCTCCTCCTCCTCCTCCTCCTCCTCCTCCTCCTCTCGGAGCCTCCTCCTCCTCCTCCTCCGCCTCAGTTATCGCGGGGTGTTCGATGGCCACCACCTTCGTTCGCATTTACATCCTCCCCTGCGTTGGACTCCCTCACCATCCCTCGCTCGGTCTCGCTCGACATCTACATCGGCGATTACGGTATCTCGTCAGTAGGTAGCATTGTGGTAGTGAGTCAAGATTTGAAGGAGTTATCCCACGCTGTCATGATCACCATCCAGCAAGAGATGTGCTCCTCAGCTGCCGAGGACAAGGCTGCAGTCGTAGCCTTGAAATCGCGCCTGGGCAGGAACCTCACGTCCTTTCTTGGAGCGTTCGGCGGCGATGCTTCGACGCAGGCTGCCATCAACCTCGGCATAGACGACACGGCTGGCAAGGCCCGTCGCATAGGTAAAAGGGGTAAGAAGTATCTTCAGAAGATGAAGACCCTGACAGCTCGTGGTCGGGGGTTCGTGAAGGCCAAGAAGGCCTTGGGCAAACATTCCAGGAAAACTTTCACCTCGGGCCCGCTTTGTGGTGCTTCGTGCGGGTCCGAAATCCATTGGACGTCCGACGAAGAGCTTCTGGCCTTGAGGCGTACGATTAGCTCGTGTGTCAAACCTTCCGCTGGGTCCAGGAGCCTAACGTCTTTAACCATCCTGGGACGTGGTCCTTGCTATTACGCCAGTGTTGCGCCAGTTTTAAGGTATGCCAAGGAGGTGTGGCTGAATCAGACTAAGCAGTACCTCTTCGCCATTCCCTTCAGCACCCTCCGCAGGACACGGGAAGCAGCATTTGCAGGCGAAATCCCTCCTTGGCACAACGTTTCAGGTCCTCTCTCTGCCGCCCGTGCGTCATTGCATCGCACTGGCTGGAGCATGCCAGACTTTACCACGTGCAGGACCGACCACGGTGTGGAAATAGGCCTCACCATCACCAGCCCTCGTCTCCTGAAGAAGTTTCTCAGGAAAGGGGGTCTCAGACAACTTCAGAGGCAATCTGGGAAATCCCACGGTCTTCCTGAAGGCTCTCGGGTTTGCATGGACATTTCCATCCAGGAGCTCAATTCTAAGACATGGCATGCGTTTGAGAAAGGTTGTATTCGAGCTCTTGCCTGCAACGCCTGTTGAACAGGCCCACGTGCTAGGCCCTAGGTGTAGCCCTGGGGTAGGCCCTAGGGCCAGCCCTAGGGTAGCCCTTCCTTGGATGATCCATAACCGCGCCGTACTCTTCTATGCGTATCTGGTCTCGGCATACTTGTCGGCAGGTCTCCACTACTTAGGTATCGTAGGCCTTCTCGTGATACACGCGCCGCCCGCTTCCAATGGCGCGGCGGCGCGCTGAGGCCGGCCCCCCCGAGGGCGGCCGCGCGGGCGGGGCGCGGCGCCGGGGGCAATTGCGGGTGATAGAGTTCTCACAAACGGCCTTACTGGTCCTCCTCCGTTCCTTTCCCTTATCAAGAATTTCTCCCTGTCGCACCCCGAGCCTAATTTCCAGGGCGGGACGGGCGTTCCGCCTAAGACTTCCTCACCACTGATGACTCTGAAGCTTAAAAGTTGGCAACAGCTTCGCAGATGGAGGGCGGGTCGTTTTCAAAATGTCGTCCTCGCCTTAACGCCGCGCGCTTTCGTTATAGAAATGTGCACGAGCTTCGCGGATTGAGGATAACCCGTTTTCTAAATGTGGCTCTCGCCTCAGCGCCGCGCACATTCGTTCTACAAATGTACAAGAATTTCACGGATTGAAGATAATCCGTTTTCGAAATGTGGCCCTCGCCTTGGCGCCGTGCACATTCGTTCAAAAAACTGCAAGTTTCACGGATTGAGGGCGGTTCCTTTTCAAAATGCGGTTCTTGCCTTAGCGCCGCGCGCATTCGTTCATACAAATTTGCAAGAATTTCATGCGTTCCCACGATCAACGTACCAGAAATTGCGTTTTGGAGAGATTCGGGTTTTTGCGGGTGGAACACTTACGTTGATTGGTGTTGAAATCCCAAGAATGGCGTTCCGGCGCGAACCAGGATCGCCACGACGCAACAGTCAGGCCTCCTCCTCCTCTTATTCCTCCTCCTCCTCCTCTTCCCCCTCTTCCGCGTACGTACTCCTCCTGGTCCGCGTGTTCTTCCTCCTCCTCCTCCTCCTCCTCCTCCTCCTCCTCCTCGTCCTCCTCCTCCTCCTCCTGCTTCTCCCCCCATCTGTAGGCCACCAGATATTGAGTGGAAACGTTCCCCGTCCAAGTGCTGCAGCCCCCGCAATTGCGGATAAGAGTGAGGGGGCGACGGGGTCGTCGGCTGTCTGCGAGGCTTGCAGCTAAAACTGCCGCAAGCGCCGATCTTTTTTACGCCGCCGCAGGCGCCGAATGTTCGTTGAAACGATGTGGGTGGGTCGGGGGTGGGTCGCGGGCGGGTCGCGGGTGGGACGCGGGCGAGTCGCGCAAGGGTCGCGGGCGAGTCGCGCACGGGTCGCGGGCGGGCGGACCGCGGACGACGACAACAACACAACAACACAACAAGAATCCGCAACGCGGATCCCCACTTCAGCCACACACCCAAGAACAGTGTAAGACCGCTCGGCACCCTCACCCTGATTAACGCTTTGACCGACGCCCTCCAAGATGGCCCAAGAGGGCCCGAACGACACCCAAGAGGGCCCCAAGAGCGCCTCGATGGCCTCCCCGAAGAGCCCAAGTAGAGCTCCAACAGGGCTCCAAGAGGCTCATGTGGAGGTCCCCAGCCAAATTCACAATTGACGACCTCTATGCTTCACTTTATATGTTAATATACATATATTAGCATATACAGTGAAGCATGGAGGTCGTCAACGGTTCTGGATAGGACATATACGGTTGAAGGACGTAGACTAGCATATACAGTGAAGCATAGCCCCAGACAGCGCCCCTGGGCATCGTTTCTAGATAGGCTGGTGGACGCGAACCGTCAAGAATTACGACCTAGCCTATGTTGCTTGAAACACCTCATTGCCGCAATCCCCTCCTGGTCGCTCGGCTTCTGCCTGACCTGCAGCTCAATGCCGGACGGGTTGAGAAGGTCGAACACCTGAGCGATACGAAGAACAACTGAATCTTGCGCACGAGGACATGTGCCGACGTGCTGACCCTACGCGATGGCTTCTTGATGATGTATAGTTGCGCAGGCCGCGAGCGAGGCACTTCACGTGGAACAGAAGGCTCTCACGCGCGAGCTTACGCGGGCAGAGTACGGGCCGGCGTCCGCGCAGTCGACCCGGAGTATGTTCTGCGTCGCCCACCTTCTCGTTGTAGATCTCCATGAAGGTGATCTGAACGGTCGGCTGGCTGTCACCCTTGTAGGAAGGCACCAACTATACACCAACACCGATCCTGGCCCAGGATCACCCTGGGCCCAGGATCGGTGTATACGCCCTCCTGCCTTGGGCAAGAAGGCATATACACCGATCATGGGCCCAGGGTGATCCTGGGCCAGGATCGGTGTTGGTGTATAGTTGGTGCCCTCCGACCTTGGGGCTCCTCTCCAGCAGCATCCGAAAGACAAACTGCACCGAGCGGGGCAGGACGCCCTGACCGCAGACCTTGGCGCGCCGCGCGTTGTCGATGAGCTCTCGACAAGAATCTGGCAGGCGACCGCTCGCGTCTATCACCTCGTCGTCCGCCAGCTGAGTCATGCAGTCGGCTGGACCAAGCATGGAGTGCGTTTTCCCCGCGCCTGTCTGGCCATAGGCGAACACGGTGGCCGTGTGCCCCTCGACCGCCTTCTGCACTAGCCCCTTGACGCCAGACAGGGCGAACAGCTCCGTCTGGCTGCCCTCCAGCACGGCGTGGAAGTGAAGGGTCTCGTGGCCCGAGTCCGTGCGCTGCATGGCGGGCGACATGAAGCTGATCGTCCTCCTGTCTTCCAGGGCCCGGCACGAGATCTCGTCGCCTGCCTCCAGGAGGCCAGGAAAAAGGCACACGAACAGAGAGACGTCGGACCCCTCCCCGGTGCGACAAGCTCGGGCCCCTGAAAAGGTGCGGTGGCAGGCCGTGCGGTGACCTCAGAATCCTCAGAAGACCTCACCGCACGGTCGCCACCGCACCGTCTTTGGGACCCTGGAAGCCCTGGTCGCCTGAGACACCCTCGGAGACCGACCCAAATCTCGAAACCGTGCTGTCATCCCGAACCCCCACTGACTCACGACACGGTGCAGTCACCTGCGCCACCAGAATGTCCATATCCAATGCAGCGGGGTCGTGCTCTGGGCACTCGGGGAGCGGTGGATATGGACATCTGCCCACCCATACGGGCGGGCAAATCCGCCGACCCTGTCGGCGTGTGTTTGCTCCGTTCTCGTCGTCGTCGTCGTCGTCGTCGCCGCCGCCGCTGCCGCTGCCGCTGCCGTCGCCGTCGCCGCTGCCCTCTTCGAGCTCGCCAGCCAAAACGAAAATAAGAAGCGTCGCTGAGTCGAGGTGAGGCCCTTCCCTTGATCTCTTCCCCGTCGGGGGTGGGGGAACTCCCAGGGAGGGTGTCGCGGCGGGGTCCCGGGTCAGAGTACCATCCCCTCTGAGGGTCCCCAGGACAAAAAAGACCCCAAGACGGGCCAAAAGTGCCCCAAGAGGATCCCATTCACGAGGGCCCGAATCGCCGAACGATGGGTACAAGACGCCCAAGATGGCCTCCTGACGGCCCAAGAAGCTTCCAAGACGCTCCAAGATCACTCCAAGAGGGCCCCAACAGGCAAACATTAAGGATTTTACTTAGGAAGATTTTGGCGTTCTTGCCTTTTCGGCTTCCCGACGCTCGAAGACGGCGCAAGATGGCACCAAGGTCGCCCCAAGAGGCCTCCAAGACGGCCCCAAAACGACCCAAGAGGGCCCCATGACAGCCCAAAAGGCCTCCAAGACGGCCCAAGAGGCCTCCAAGACGGCTCCAAGAGGGTGCCCAGACGAGGGAACCCGAACGAGCATCTCGAGCCCTCGGCTCCGAGAAGCTCCCAGGAGGCCCCAAGAGGCCCTCAAGAGGCCCCCAAGAAGCCCCCGGGAGGACCATGGGAAGCCCCAAGAGGCCCCCAAGATGATCCCAAGAGGCCCCGAAATTGCTCCCAGAGGCCTGCGAGAGCGCTCTGAAGAGACCCCACGAAGCATCCCTGAAGACTCTAACCCACGTCAGCGTCGCCGCCGCCGCCGCCGCCGCCGCCGCCGCCGCCGCCGCCGTCGTCGTCGTCGTCGTCGTCGTCGTCGTCGTCGTCGTCGTCGTCCCCATTCAGGGTCTGCGGCACAGGAGGAAAGGCCTCACTATCCATATCCACCACTCCTCGCGATCTCAGGGCACTGCTGGCGGTGGATCACCGCGCCGCTTGGGAGCCCCCGAGATCCGACGATGCGAACAAATTACAGCGTCGCAAGAGTTCACGACTGGAGCCCTAGACCCCATCTTTCTGCAGCATTTTTCTAGCTGGGTCGATCTGTGATGGTCCCGTGGCCCAAGACCATGCAAAAACGCAAAGTTTGGAAAACAAGAATTAGCCTGGCGAAGGACCCAACCATATGCAGTTGTGAGCGCCGTCTTTGTATGCACCGCATTCGGAGCAGCTCCCTAGAGGGCCACGAAACATGTGAAGGAGTGTGCCAAAATTTGTCTGGTGGGCGCATGCGAATGCAGCCACTCGAGCCGTCGGTGGAATTCCCTAGGAGCCCACAAAACGCGTGAAAGGTGTGCCGAAATAGGTGCGGTGGGCGCATGCGAACGCAACCGTTGGGGCCGTCGGTGGAGCTCCCTATGGTGCCGCGAAATATGTGATGGGTGTGCCGAAATGGGTGCGGTAGGCGCATGCGGACGCAACCACTGGCGCCTTCGGTCAAGCTCCCTATGGGGCCACGGGACGTGAGGGGTGTGCCGAAATGGGTGTGCGTGACAAATGCGGGCGGTGGCACTGTGCCTTCGGTGATGCTCCCTGTGGGGCCACGAAACGTGAGGGGCGTGCTGAAATGGGTGTGCGAGGCGCATGCGGGCGGTGGCACTGGGGCCTTCGGTGGAACTCCCTATGGGGCCACGAAACCTGTGAGGGGTGTGCCGAAGTGTGTGTGTGTGTGTGTGTGTGTGTGTGTGTGTGTATGTGTGTGTGTGACGCATGCGGGCGGTGGCACGGGAACCTTCGGTGGAGCTCCCTGTGGGGCCACCAAACGTGTGAGGGGTGTGCCGAAATGGGTATGCGTGACAAATGCGGGCGGTGACACTGGAGCCTGATATGGTTCCTATGGGGCCACGAAACCTGTGAGGGGTGTGCCGAAATCGGTGTGCGTGACGCATGTGGGCGGGGCACTAGGGCCTGCGGTGGAACTCCCTGTGGGGCCACGAAACGTGTGAGGGGTGCCGAAATGTGTGTGCGTGACGCATGCGGGCGGTGGCACTGGGGCCTTGGGTGGAGCTCCCTGTGGAGCCACGAAACGTGTGAGGGGTGTGCCGAAATCGGTGTGCGTGACGCATGCGGACGGTGGCACTGGAGCCATCGGTGGAGCTCCCTATGGGGCCTCGAAGCGTGTGAAGGGTGTGCCGAAATGGGTGTGCGTGACGCATGCGGGCGGTGGCACGCCTTCGGTGGAGCTCCCTATGGGGCCACGAAACGTGTGAGGGATGTGCCGAAATGGGTGTGCGTGACGCATGCGGGCGGTGGCACTGGGGCCTTCGGTGGAGGGCCACGAAACATGTGAGGGGTGTGCCGAAATGGGTATGCGTGACAAATGTGGGCGGTGGCACTGGGCCTTAGGTGGAGCTCCCTACGGTGCCACGAAACGTCAGAGGGGTGTGCCGAAATCGGTGTGCGTGACGCATGCGGGTGGTGGCACTGAGGCCTTCGGTGGAGCTCCCTATGGGGCCTCGAAGCGTATGAGGGGTGTGCCGAAATGGGTGTGGTGACGCATGCGGGCGGTGGCACTGGGGCCTTCGGTGGAGCTCCCTGTGGGGCCACGAAACGTGTGAGGGGTGTGCCGAAATCGGTGTGTGACGCATGCGGGCGGTGGCACTGGGGCCTTCGGTGGGGGGGTGATGAGGGCGATCGCGATGAGGGTGATGATGGTGATGACGTTGGTGATGACGATAACGTTGACGATAATGATGATGATTATGACGATGACGGGAGGAGGGAGGAGGGGGAGGAGGAGGAGTGAGGGACGCGGGGCGCTGTCTCTTCAAAACAAGGACCCAACACCACAAGATGGTTCAGAAAAATGCAACGCCCCGATCTCAGGAGGGAAGCCTCGGCGCCACTCTGAGGCGCCGCCGAGGGCTGCCCGCCACCGCCCGGGGACAAGTGCCCGTGTGCTCTTCTCTCCAGCCCCCAGGCCTCATGCCCCAGCATCGGCCGCACCCTCACCGCCACCAGCATCCTCTGCGCGAGGACCGTCGTCGTCGTCGTCGTCGTCGCCGCCGTCGTCGTCGTCGTCGTCGTCGCGGTTCAAGTCATTCTTTCGCCATGTTCGGCCTCCTGGGGTCTGTTTCGGGCCCCAGGATCTGGGGAACGGCCTCGTGCCCCACCATCGGCCGCACCCTCACCGCCACCAGCATCCTCTGCGCGAGGATCGGCGGCGGCGGCGACGACGGCAGCAGCCAGAAATCCAAATGGGCCCAGAAATGGCAAACGAATGCCCCCAAATCGACGACGACGACGACCAAAAGCCCGATCCGTTCCAAACTGGTCTCCAAAAACCTCCCGGGGTGCATCCTGGCCAAGCTTCAATCCTGGATATGGTGCCGATCCGGGGATCCTGCATCACTCCGCGAAACGTAAAGCAAGTTTTACCAACCCCCTTTGCCCCGAGTTTCAATGTTCAGTTGCGCGCGCGGCGCGGGGTCTGCGGACGCCGAAGAAAAATCCGCCGACCTTGTCGGCGTGTGCGAGAGGCTGTTTCGTCTGACTCGTCGTCGTCGCCGTCGTCGTCGTCGTCATCGTCGTCGTCGTCGTCTGACTCGTCGTCGTCGTCGTCGTCATCGCCGTCGCCGTCGCCGTCGCCGTCGTCGTCGCCATCGCCATGGCCGCTCCCCCTTTTCACTGGGCCCTCCTCCTTAAGCGCGCCAGCCAAAGCGGAACAGCCGGAGCGAAATTGATCGAATAAACCCCTCCCCTTTGATCCCTTCCTCGCCGGGGGGCGGGGGTGCCGGGGCGAGGTGTCCCGGGGGAGGGGGCCGGTCTCGGGTCAGAATGCCACTGCCCCCCCGGGTCCCCAGGCCAAAGAGGCCCCACGGCCCTGGCCCCTGCCCTGGCGCCCCAGCGCCCCGACGCCTTAGCCTGGCCTCGCACCGGCCCGGGCGCCGCCGGCGCCGCCGCCCGCGCCCCCGCCCCCCGCCCCGGTCCAGTGGGACCCTCGGTGGGGCTCCCTATATGGGGCCACGAAACGGTGTGCTGGGTGTGCGGGGCGCCTGCGGACGCTAGGGAGGAGGGGGGGGGCACGAGAGGAGAACGCGGGGACCATCTCTTCAAAACGAGGACCCAACTCCAGGAAGCCAGGAAGCTTCCAAAAGGCTCCCAGACCCCCAAAACTTCGTGGGGGCTCTTGGGCACCTCTTGGCCGGCCACGCGTAGCCTCTTGGGCACTCTGAGGAGCGTCTGATCCCGACCTTCCCGAATGCCTTTTCCCTCGTGGGTGTCGTCGTCCAGGGTCGGCGGCACTGGCCGTATGGCCTTAGCAACTCAAATTTGGGGGTATGGGGGTGCCGACGCTGCGCACGAAAAACTTGCTTCGAAGTTTCGCGGAAGGATGCGGGGCCCGAAACAAGCCTCCGGAGGCCACAAATTGCGAAAGAACGACTCGAACCGCGACTACGACGACGACGACGACGACGACGACGACGACGACGACGACGACGACGGTCCTCGGACCCGTGCAGGAATGCCTTCTGACCAAGATCTCGAGCGGAATCCAGTCGTGGCCACGAGAAGCCTCCCGTAAATCCAAAAAGAACGAGAGTCATGGTAGTGATGGTGATGACGGTGCTGGGATGATGATGACGATGATGATGCTGATGATGATGCTGATGATGACGATGATGATGCTGCTGCTGCTGATGGTGATGATGATGATGACGATGATGATGATGATGATGATGATGATGGTGATGATGCTGATGATGATGTTGATGCTGATGCTGATGCTGATGATGATGATGATGATGATGATGATGATGATGATGATGATGATGATGATGATGATGATGATGATGCTGATGCTGATAATGATGATACTAATGGTACGATGATCGATCCTCGAACCGTGACCCTCGATGCTCGATGCACCGCGGCGGCGACGGTCCTCGGTAACGCCTCCAGCTCCTCGCGAGCCAACGGGGCGTCCTCCGGCTGCGCGCACTCATGGGGGATGCTCACCGTGTGCCCTGATACCCTGCCGCGGATGTGACCCTGTGGCGATGCCGCCATGCACGCTGTGGTCCCGAGTACGACATATATTCGCTTTGATCCCCTCTCGCTTCAAATTCGAGAAGAGGGGGGGTGTCGACTCCGGATCCGCCCTTCCTCGGGCGATGTTGCAGGTAGGGCGGAAAGACGCCCTACTTTCCAAGCACCTTTGATGCAGATTTCCGCCCTACTTTGCCAGGGGGCCCGAGAGGGGCGTCCCAGCTTCTAAGAAGGGTTATGAGAAGCGTATGATTTTCATGCACCCTGGGGATCGAGAACACCACTCCGAAGGCGAACTTCGGTGGGGGGAAACCGTCAGAACGGAGGACAAATGACTCTAGAATTGAGGGTCGAACGCCAACTTTGGAGGCATTCCAGCCTCCAGGTAAAGAAGGCACCCCTGGCTTCTGAGAAGCCCCCCGCTTCCTCAGGAGGTGGCAGGTGACGAAAGGGGGGGGGCTGGCTCAGAGGCGGTAACACTGCTTTGGGCGATGCATCGCCGATAGATCCGCGATAGGCCCTCGACAGCAGAACCGCCCGTTCCTACGAGATCACCGTGACGAGGCATGATTTCAATCTGCCTTCGCAGATGGCGCAGCAGGGCGAAGTACTTCGGAATAAAACCACTCCGACAGCTCCGCGCGCGGGCGCATCCTGCTCGATACGTTACAGGGTGTGGCGCGGCAGTAGTTTCCGATCCAGCTCTGGGGCAACAGAGCCACAAGCATCTGGCGGATCGGATACTCCGCCGTTTGATGCAACCATCAGGAGAATTGGCACATTGAGAGGGATGGGAGATACCTTCGCCATCGCAAATTGAGGAAACGTTTGCCACGGCCGTGCCTGAGCGGGGTGCGGCGCCCAGGCCCCGACTGTCGACGAATGGGCGATTGGGGGCTCGATGTCCGCCCCCAAAGGGCTTGCCCCCTCCCCCCATGAGAGGAAGAACACATCAGAGAAAAAGTTAGCTTTCGGAGGTCCGCGCCCTCACCCTCCTCCTCCTCCTCCTCCTCCTCCTCCTCCTCCTCCTCCTCCTCCTCCTCACCATCACCATCACCATCACCATCACCATCACCATCACCATCACCATCACCATCACCATCACCATCACCATCGTCACCATCACCATCACCATCACCATCACCATCACCATCACCATCACCATCACCATCACCATCACCATCATCATCATCATCATCATCATCATCATCATCATCATCATCATCATCATCATCATCATCAGCATCAGCATCAGCATCAGCATCAGCAGCATCAGCATCATCAGCATCAGCATCAGCATCAGCACCAGCACCAGCCATCACCATCACCATCACCATCATCACATCATCACATCATCATCAGCATCAGCATCAGCATCAGCATCAGCATCAGCATCAGCATCAGCATCATCATCATCATCATCATCATCATCAGCATCAGCATCAGCATCAGCATCAGCATCATCATCATCATCATCATCATCATCATCATCATCATCATCATCATCATCATCATCATCATCATCATCATCATCATCATCATCATCATCATCATCTTCATCATCACCGTCTTCGTCCATCCCGAAACGGCCGAGGTGTCACATGTGACGGGTTCGGCGACCACCTCACGGGAGCCCAGAAGAGCCCCTCCTCCTCCTCCTCCTCCTCCTCCTCCTCCTCCTCCTCCTCCTCCTCCTCCCTCTCCTCCTCCTCCTCCTCCTCCTCCTCCTCCTCCCTCTCCTCCCTCTCCTCCCTCTCTCCTCCTCCTCTTGCTCCTCCTCCTCCTCCTCCTCCCATCTCCTCCCTCTCCTCCCTCTCCTCCCTCTCTCCTCCTCCTCTTGCTCCTCCTCCTCCTCCTCATCGTCATCATCATCACCATCACCATCACCATCATCATGATCATGATCATGATCATCATTATCATCATTATCATCATTATCATCATTATCATCATTATCATCATTATCATCATTATCATCACCATCACCATCATCATCGCCATCATCATCGCCATCAGAAGCATCATCACCATGATCATCAGCATCATCAACATCATCGGCATCAGCAGCATCATCATCAGCATCAGCATCAGCATCATCAGCATCAGCATCATCATCAACATCATCAGCATCAGCATCAGCATCATCACCATAATCGTCATCATCATCAGCATCATTATCAGCATCATCATCAGCATCGTCATCAAAATCAGCATCACCATCATCATAAGCATCATCATCATCATCAGCATCATCATCATGTTCATCATGATCATCCTGATCATCCTGATCAGGATCATGATCATGATCATGATCATGATCATCAACATCATCATCTCTGTAATTTTCCTTTGGGCTTAAAAGCCAACTCGGGCACAGACGCTCAAGCGCATGGGTTCCGTCTCGCGTGAGCCAGCAATCCACTGTAAAGTGAGGCTCTGCTCGGTGCAGTGAGAAAGCGACCAGACATCATCACCAATTCCTCGGCGACCAGGCCCCAAGCAACGGCCCGAGGACAAATCAAGTTCTCCAAGTAGCTGGGCAGTGTACGATCATGTAATTACGTCTGTCAGCAGATACATGCGTCACCGTTGGCCACCTCCTGATCATCTCCTTGAAAAAAGCCTTGACAAAAACCAGCGACCCGGCAGCGACACGGCGGCCCGGCACCCACCCGGCACCCCGTACCCGGCAACCGGCACCCGGCACCCAGCACCTGGCGACCAGGCACCCAGCGACCCGGCGGCACCCAACGACCCCGCGCCCGCTACCCGGCACCAGGCACACAGCACCCGGCACCCGGCATCGGCCCGGCACCGTCGGCACCTGGCGACCCGCGGCACCCAGCGACCCGGCAACCCACCGACCTTTCGACCCGGCAGCACCAAGCAAACACCCGGCGACTTGGCGACCCGCCGATCCGACGGCCCGGCGACGGGTGTTGGGTGGGTCGTTGGTCGGTCGCTGATGGGTCGCGAGTTCGTCGCGGATAAGTCGCGAGGTGGGTCGCGGGCATGACGACGATAACATCAACAAAACATCAAAAATTATCCTTACCCCGAATCCCCAGCCACGCACCCAGGAACAGTGTAAGAACGTTCGGCCCCCTTTCTCGCACATTGGATACGTTGCACATGATCTTCGCGGAAAACGCTGCCGCTCAGCACGTCGCCTCCAGACGTGTGCCCGGCGACCCGGCGATTCCGAACCTTGGTTTACGCAGCATCCGCCGGTTGCATCCATGAGATGGCGCAGTGGGGAGATGCACATGAAACGAAGAAGTCCCTCGCGACGCATAATAACGTGAGGTGCTTCGACGTCGCACACGGATCGGCCGCACCTTTTTCCTCCCTCTCCTCTCCCCAATATCCCCCTTCCCTTCCTGATCATCCTCGCCCTATCCTTCTCCTCGTCCCCCTCCCCCTCCTCCTCCTCCTCTTGCTCCTCCTCCTCCTCCTCCTCCTCCTCCTCCTCCTCCTCCTCCTCCTCCGCCGTCCTCGACAACGCTTGATGGGGCCCGTTGGGCCGTGTGTTGGCTATGTAGCGCCGTCTCGGGGCCAACCTGGGCCGTCTTGCACCGTCTTCAAGCGATAGTGGCCCGTCTCGTGGCCATGTTGGACCGCCTTGGGGCCATCTTGGGGCCACCGCGAGCCGTGAGGCGTTCCCTCCCGAGATCTCCGAGGCGCACTCCGGCTGGAGCAGGGAATTCCCCTCCTCTACGTCGGCCAGACTGGGCTCCGAATCTCGCGCGCCGGGGAACCCCCAAGGCTCGGATAATCATGATGATGAAAGTCATGATGGCGACGGTGGCCATGACGACGACGACGACGCACAGGGGAAGAAGGCACAGCGCGAAGATAAGCAGTCCGAGGAGGACGATCATGGGGATGTTTTGGCTGGCAGCATCGGAACTCGCCTGCGCCAACTGGGAAACGAACGTTCCTCTCCGTGCTCACGCGCGCTGCCCCGCGGCATTCGCCGTTCGTCTGGGGAGCGTTTCGCCCTTGGGCCCCCACCATGGGGCACCAGTGGCGTTGCCCACAACCTGCGCGGAGCTTGAAAAATATAACCATGACCGATCTGCGACCGAGGCACCCTGGTCGACCTATCCTGCTCGCGATCACGCCGCGTGCTGGCTGTCGCCGAGCAGCGCGCTCACGCGCATGAGCTCCTCGAAATCCCTGAGTCTTCGCGCCCATGGACTCCTTCAGCTTACCCAAGAATTTGGCTGACAAGCCGAGCCTCTCCTGGAGCTCCTCGCAAGCGCCTTCGGCGTTCTCGGGGGGCGGGCTCCGCGTGGAAACGCCTCTGCCTTCAGCTGGACCCCGCGCGGCCAGGCCAGCGGACGCCGCGAAGCGGAACGCCAGGCGAATCGCTGTTTCGACGGCGTCGGCGTTTCCCGTGAAAGACTTCACGTTCTTCGTCAGCTTGTGCGGATCCTGCGTCGACTGCATCGCCGAAAGCAGCGGCTTCTTCGCGATGCGGCATTCCTCTTGAAGCCCTCCTGCTGCAGGGGCGGCTCGGCACGCAACTTCTTCTGCGGCGGCGCCTCTGCGCCCTCGGCCTCGCCGCCGGCGGGCGGGGCTTGGGTCGGCCCCCCCGCCCCGTGCGCCGGTGCGTTGTGAGCCGCGGGTCCCGCGGCTCCCCTGGGCGTCTCTGCAGCGACTTGGGATGCGGGGGTGCATTCTCGACGCAGGGTGATTCCATCGTCTGCAGCGCCGCCCAGTCCACTTCGTTGCCGGCTAAAGGGTTCTTCAAACCGTGGCAGGGCCTACGGGTGCCAGTCCTGCGCGTAATCCTGATCATGTGATTCCAGGTGTCCTTGGCGTTGATGAACAGTCCCTGAGTGGGCGATGCGCGCGCTTCAACTTCTGTGCGACACGACGCGAATTGAGAGGGCGGCGCAAGGGCAAGGGCGCCTGATTGCCAAAGACACACATGCGATCATGATGAAAAAGACTGCCAGGATTGGCATTCGCAGCGGAGCCAGTCTGCCACCTCTCGGTCGCCCTCCCCCCGGTCGTCGGCACCTCGCGGCTCGAACGGCCTCAACTCCTCGAGGGCGATTCACCCTGTTTCTTGGCCGCCTTGACGAAATTATCGCTGCCCTGCGCGCGCGCCGCGAGGGTCGCGCGTCCAGGGCCCACTGCGAGGAAGCCCATCATGGCCACGATGATGAGGTCCACGTGCGCGGAATGGATCTGGACCTCTGTCGCGCATGGATCCTGGGCGAAGGTCTTCCCAGTTCCTGGCGACGTTGCAGAGGGTCGCCATGATGTCGCCCCCGCGCGCGCCGCAGGGCTGATAATCTACTCGAAGGGCGACAGCGCGGCAAGAGACATGGCTGCTTGTTTGGCGCGCTCCCGCAAGAACGTCTGCGCCGTTTGCCCGCGCACGAACGTCAGCGCACACCTCGACCAGCTGCGCCTCTTCCCGGGCACTTCGGACTTCGGCAGCAGAGCGAGCATAACTCACGCTGGCAGCGGCACGATCTGCCTCAGACTGCTCGCCGGCAGCGGCTGCCTCCGTGGCCGGGCGCACATTCCGATCTTCTGCTACCCAGAGCTCCCGGGAGGCTTGCGACACAGTCGCGCGCTGATCTCCACCGCCACCACCCTGGACGACGCGCCTGGCTTCCTCGGCAAGGTGCTTCTCCTGAAGCTGCGCGTGGCGCTCGGATGCGGCAGCGATCTCCGGCCCGTTGGCAAGCTCGCGCATCTCTGAAGTCGCCGCCAAGGCCTGCTCGGCCGCTACCGCCTGTCGGCGCCCCTTAAGAAGCTTCGGGGCGTTCGTCGTAGCCTCGCGAACCCGCTCATTGAAGAGCAGCGGCAGACTGGTGCCGTAGCTCTGATTGTCGGAATTGATCGCGCATTCCAGCCATGCCCCGTTCTCGCCGGCCTCGCGCCATTTGTTCGCACGTAACCCCGTGTAGTCATGCGACGCCGGGGCAGGGCACGTCGGACGCAAGAAGTTCAGGTCGCAGAGACCGCAGAGCCCCGAGCACCCATGACATGCTGGCTTCCTGAATGGCCTAATGTCCCACGACGCCGAGCTTCAGGAATCGACGCGCACCGCGGCCTAAAGTGAGCGCACTTCGCGTGGGCGCGCATGCTGAACGCACTCGACCGGCCTAACAGGCTCGACAAATCGGACGCCTCCGAACGCGGCCTCGGCGCCCTCGGTCTACCCCTTTTCCGAACTCCTCTCGCGGGGAAAGCGGGCCCCCGGGCCAAGAGTCTCGGGCACTGCGAGCGATGGTCGAGAATCGGGCCGACCAGGAGGTGGGGGAGGCCAGGGCGCGCAGCCACCGGCCCCCCCCGGGGGCGCGCGCGGGCCCGTCCTCGGGGGTGTCCTCAGACTTCTTCCGCTTGACGAGCGGCGACGTCATTGAGACGCTGACCGCCTCGCGCCTTTGCTTGTGGGCGGCCCTGGCTGGGCTGTCCACGGGCTGAGCCCCCATGATCTCCTCGAGACCCCGTTCAAGTGAATCGTCGGAAGGGAACGCAGCCTCTTCGACATCGGCGAAGGGCGCCAACGCGGGGAGTGGGTCGTCGGCCAGATGAACAGAAGAACTGGTGACATAGACATCAGCTTCCGCTCCCTGCGGCAGGCAGGCGCTTCCGTAGGCAACTGGTCTAGGCGTCGATTTGCGAGAGGAGTTCCCCCCCGACGTGATAGATTCCATGCCCCGCTCGCCGTCCGAGAGGTCGATGGCGACGTCGGGTTGACCGGCGATCGGCAGTGGCATCTGCTCGCCACGTTCGTGCCAGTCTGGCTCCTCGTCGTCATTGGCCTTCGGGGTGTCTGGGCGATGCTCGTCGTCGTAAGATATATTCCAGCTGATATTTGGACGAGGGCGTTGACTTGCATCCCCGACATAGTTGGAGGAAGCAGCCCCGTGAACGCACGTGCTTAAGCCATGGCGTTGGTCTTCGTTCTTTAGTGCATCACCCACCGAAGGGAGGAATATTGTTCTCCCGTCTGGTGACATCGCGTTCCAGTGTTTTGCCGGGTCTCCGTCAGGACGGGGGCTTTCGCAACCCGATGAAACGGCAAAGCGTGTTCGTGTTCTTCATGGTGATCTTTTTCCCGCAGTACTTCCATGCTCAGATCCAAGCGTTTTATTTGGGATGTATTTCTTCCCGCCATTGCCTAACATGTTGTGCCGTTAAACTATGACTGGGGTAACGATGAGCAAAGAAGGCCCCGTTGGCGGGCGCGCGGCGGGCGGGGCGGTCTCTTGGTTTTTTCATTGCCACCGAAACCGAAACAGCTCCGGCAAGTCACCAATGTTCGGCGGCGGCGGGACAGCGATGCTGAGGCAAGGCACGAAAAAGACACAATCAACTTCCACTGGGCATCACTTGCCATATCCGCTATTCGCACAGGCTCGCGACGCGGAAAACGAGACCGCGGCGCGCGCGCAGGCCGAGACTTGATCAGTCAAACGGCTACCGCATGACAAATATCTTGGGGGCAGCGACGGGGATGTGGATGGTCTGAACGATAACGATGTGATTGTTTACGAGTATGACGATAACGACGACGACCATAATGACGACGAAGATGATGAGGATGATGAGGATAAAAGTGGTGGTGGTGATGGTGCAGATCATGATGGTGATAACGACGATGATGCTGATAATGCTCGCAAGTCGCACAGGTCCAACAGGTCCCGCGGGTCCCGCGGGTCTCGCAAGTCCCACAGGCCGCGCAGGTCCCACAGGTCCCCCAGGGCTTGCAGGTCGCGCAAGTCCTACAGGTCCCCCTATGCCCCACAAGTCTCACAAGTGTCACAGGTCTCGCACGTCTCCCTGGCTACACCACCCCAGTGGTCTAGGGGCCTTGTTCTGCGAAACGCTGTCCTTCCCCCTCGGGGAAGGCGGTTCCCAGTCCCGCCCCCCCCCCTCCCCCTCGACTTGATCGGGGCGCGCCGCGAAGCGTCGGATCGCCCAAGATGGCTCCAAGAGGGCCCCGGAGAGCCCAAGATTGCCTCCAAGCTCGCGCAAGGCAGCCCAATCTAATTCAAGACGGCTTTCAAGATACCTCCAAGAGCCCTGGGGGCCGCGCCAGGACGGCTCCAAGAGCACTCTGAGCCCTAGGCAAAACGCATTCAAACCTAATGTGTGTGTGCGTGCGTGTGCGTGTGCGTGTGCGTGTGCGTGTGCGTGTGCGTGTGCGTGTGCGTGTGCGTGTGCGTGTGCGTGTGCGCGCGTGTGTGTGTGTGTGCGATTGTGTCTGTCTGTCTGTCTGTCTGTCTGTCTGTCTGTCTGTCTGTCAGTCAGTCTGTCTGTGTGTGTGCGTGTGTGCGTGTGTGTGTGTGTATGTGCGTGTGCGTGTGCGTGTGCGTGTGCGTGAGCGTGTGCGTGTGCGTGAGCGTGTGCGTGTGCGTGTGTGTGTGCGTGTGTGTGCGTGTTTTGAAACGTCGAACCGTGTAGAATTAATAACGATCGTCCGTGAGAAGGCCGCCACCCCGCCGTGCGCACCGGCGAGTCCTGCAGGTCCTCCGCCTCCGCGCGCCAGCAGGCCCCAGCGGGCCCTCCAGCGACGGCGCGCCGGTCGAGGGCCACCGAAGTGGACGCGGCGTCTAAATTGTATCCACCCGCCCGGCGCGGGCCTTTCGGAGTTGGAGTGCCATGTTGTGGGACCTGCTCTTGAACAGGAGCATCACGCAGACGGACATGCCCTCTCTCCGACCTTGCACTGCGCCGAACGCAACGCCCGCGTGGTCTATAGACGTATCCACCACGAATGTGTCTGCATACAACATTAACGAGAACCATCGCGCGCGCTTCGCGCGCGCTCTGGTTCTACATAGCTTGGAGTCCGACGCTCGGGCCCCAAGAGGGCCCCCAAAAGCCTACAATGTTTCCCCAAGAGCGCACGAAGAACGGTCCAAGAGACATCGAAGAAACGATTATGGGAGCTCCGAATGGCAATGACCGATCCCATGACCCTATCACGGCCTCAAAGGTTCCAAAGAAAGCCCCAAACAAGATGCCCTAGAGGCGCCGAGGGATACCTCAAAGGCCCCTAAGAGATACCGAAAAGGCGTCAAGAGGCCCCTCCGAAGCAATATCGGCCCTCCAAGCGGGCCCGGAAGCTGCCACGACGACCCCCAGCCCTCCACGAAGTGCATAATGGACAGCCAAAGAGACTCCAAACTCTCTGGGGTCGGGTTCGCCTCCCTCGGTGTTCGTCTCCCTGTCGGTGTTTGATTCTCTCGGGTCGGGGGGGTCGCGTCCCCATGCGGCTTGCTTCCCTCATTTTTTCCGTCGGGGTTCAATTCCTTCCAGAGTCGCCTCCTGCGGGGGTCGCCTCTGACAGGTTTCGTTTCTATCGGAGGTTGGTCCCCTCGGGGTTCGGGAATTGCGCTGCAAAACAAATCAGGGAATATAACACAACGGAAATGGGAAACGTAGTTGCGGTTTGCCTTTTGGGAGCCTCCTGGGGTCCTCTCGGAGGCCTCCTGGAGGCCTGTTGGGAGCCTCCTGGGGGCCTCTTGGGGGCCTCTTGGGGCCTCTTGGGGGCATCTTGGGGCCTCCTGGGGACCTCTTGGAGCCTCCTGGGAGCCTCTGGCCCCTCTGGGGCTTGTCCTGGGGCCATCTTGGGCGGTCTTGGGGGCCTCTCGGGCCGTCTTGGGACCCTCTTGGGTCGTCGTGGAGCCGTCTTGGGAGCCTGTGGGGCAGTCTTAGGGGCCTCTTGCGCTGTCTTGGACGCCGTGAAAGCCAAAGACGTATATATGCGAAGAACATACGTTTCCCCAATGGAATGAAAGGAATTTTGCCTCTTGGGGCACTCCTGGGGACCTCTGGGAGCTTCTTGGGGCGTCTGGGGGGCTTCTTAGGGTGTCTTGGGGGCGATCTTGGGCGTCTTGGAGCGGCCTGTGGGCGTCTCGGGCCCCTCTTGGAGCGTCGTCGGGCTCTGTTGGCGCTTTCTGGTGGCGTCTGGGGCCCCCCAAAAGGCCTGCACACCCCCATTTGTGGTAGAGGTTGCGGCCCCGGGGGCCTGGGCCCCAGGCCCCGGTGCAATCATGGGCCTCTGAGGGCCATTTGGGCCCGCAACGATTTGGGCCTCTCAGGGCCTCCTTGTGAGGCTTGTTGGAAGCCTTTTGGGGCGGCTTGGCAGTCTCATGACTGATGGGCCGTATTACGCCTCTGTGAGAGCCTCCAGGGGTCCCTGGGGCGGGAGATTGGTACTTATCTTTGGGATCGTTTTGTGGCGCTCTTGGGCCGTCTTGGGCTCATCTTTGGCGTCTTGGGGACATCCTGGGCCGTCTTGGGACTGCCTAGGGAGCCTCTTGGCCTGTCGTGGGACGGTCTATGGGGCCTCCGAGGCCATCTTGGAGCGTCGGACAGGCGGTAAGGCGAAAAGGCTAAGTTATCCCGACAAAGCAACCTAACAGCGATGTGTAGGAGCACATCTGGAAGCATTCCCCTTAAGATTCAGATGAGAATCCAGTTGTAGAATTCTGCTGTTCTCGCAGTCGTAGTCGCATTCGCGATGACAGTCGCAGTGGCAACGGCAGTCGCAGTCACAGCCTCAGCCTCAGCCTGCCTCAGCCTCAGCCTCAGCCTGCCTCAGCCTCAGCCTGCCTCAGCCTCAGCCTCAGCCTGCTTCAGCCTCAGCCTCAGTCTGCCTTCAGCCTCGGCCTCAGCCTCAGCCTGCCTCAGCCTCAGCCTGCATCAGCCTCAGCCTCAGCCTCAGCCTGCCTCAGCATCAGCCTGCCTCAGCCTCAGCCTCAGCCTGCCTCAGCCTCAGCCTCAGCCTGCTTCAGCCTCAGCCTCAGTCTGCCTTCAGCCTCGGCCTCAGCCTCAGCCTGCCTCAGCCTCAGCCTCAGCCTCAGCCTCAGCCTCAGCCTGCCTCAGCCTCAGCCTGCCTCAGCCTCAGCCTCAGCCTGCTTCAGCCTCAGCCTAAGTCTGCCTTCAGCCTCGGCCTCAGCCTCAGCCTGCCTCAGCCTCAGCCTGCATCAGCCTCAGCCTCAGCCTCAGCCTGCCTCAGCTCAGCCTGCCTCAGCCTCAGCCTCAGCCTGCCTCAGCCTCAGCCTCAGCCTGCTTCAGCCTCAGCCTCAGTCTGCCTTCAGCCTCGGCCTCAGCCTCAGCCTGCCTCAGCCTCAGCCTGCATCAGCCTCAGCCTCAGCCTCAGCCTGCCTCAGCATCAGCCTGCCTCAGCCTCAGCCTCAGCCTGCCTCAGCCTCAGCCTCAGCCTGCTTCAGCCTCAGCCTCAGTCTGCCTTCAGCCTCGGCCTCAGCCTCAGCCTGCCTCAGCCTCAGCCTGCATCAGCCTCAGCCTCAGCCTCAGCCTGCCTCAGCATCAGCCTGCCTCAGCCTCAGCCTCAGCCTGCCTCAGCCTCAGCCTCAGCCTGCTTCAGCCTCAGCCTCAGTCTGCCTTCAGCCTCGGCCTCAGCCTCAGCCTGCCTCAGCCTCAGCCTGCATCAGCCTCAGCCTCAGCCTCAGCCTGCCTCAGCATCAGCCTGCCTCAGCCTCAGCCTCAGCCTGCCTCAGCCTCAGCCTCAGCCTGCTTCAGCCTCAGCCTCAATCTGCCTTCAGCCTCGGCCTCAGCCTCAGCCTGCCTCAGCCTCAGCCTGAGCCTGCCTCAGCATTCAAAATGTGGCCCAGGAATGGAGTTCTGGGAACTCGAAGAACACGAAGTGGCCTACAGGGCATTCAAAATCATGCCCAGGAATTGAGTTCTGGGAACTCGAAGACCACGAAGTGGCCTACAGTTGGCTCCGGGCACTCAAAATCATGCCCAGGAATGGAGTTCTGGGAACTCGAAGACCACGAAGTGGCCTACAGTTGGCTCTGGGCATTCAACATCATGCCCAGGAGTGGAGTTCTGGGAACTCGAAGACCACGAAGTGGCCTACAATTGGCTCCGGGCATGCAAAATCATGCCCAGGAATAGAGTTCTGGGAACTCGAAGACCACGAAGTGCGTTACTGTTGGCTAAAAAAGGAATCCCCTGATTCCCTCGGATCCCGTCCGGATTCCGCCCAGACCCCCCCGGGGAGTCATGATGCTCTTTTTTGACACTACTAGAAACCTATCAGTCTTCGCTGTTAGGTAAATCCTTCCCAAGAAGCAATGGAAAATCACCCCCTGGGTGTTTGCAGTGCGCTTTGACCCTTGTTCGGCTCCTCTCGGAAGCTGTTTCGGAGCGTCTTGTGGGCGTCCTGTGGGCCTCTGGGAGCTCTCCGATTGGCTTTTGCGGGACCCTGGAGGCCTCCTGGGAGCCTCTACGAGCGAAAACCTACGGTTTTTCGTCCGTAACCTTCCTCTGAGGCTCCTCCTGGAGCCGTCTTGGGGTCCTGTTGGGCTGACCTGGACAATCATGCGGGGCATTCCCGGACACGCTCGAAGCGTCGCAAGCTCGAAGAGGCGAAGACTAAAAAAACACCAGAAAAAAAAAACAATGAACAATCATCATGTTTTGCCTGTTGGAGCCATCTGGTACAGGGTCTTGGAGCTCTGTAGGAGCGGCTTCAAGGCGTCTGGAGCCGTCGCTGCGGCCTCCTGGGGCATCTCTGCAGGCTCTGGCGGCCTCTGAAAGCCCCGGGTCGCCGAAACCGTGTAAAAAAACAAAGAGAATGACACTGTGCACTCCATTTGTGGTAGAGGCCGCGGCCCCGGGGGCCCGGGCCCCCGTGCGCCGTTATATGTATACACTCACTAACGACACCCAATGTGTCTATAGACGCTTGTGGCTTGAAACTGAAACGGCCTGTGGCACAGGCCCCAGATTCTGGACTTGAGCTCTAACTTCGGATGGCCGAAGGGATTCGGAGGGCCTCCGACGGGCTTGCGGAGGCCTCCGAAGTCCGCAGATTTCTCAGGGTCGCCGCACGTAGGCCCCCACGCTGACCCCCAGAGGCCCAGAGAGGGTGCACCCGAGAGGCCTCGAGATGGCCCAAAAGACGTGCCGAGAGCGCCCCTTGGATAGCCCCCGCAGATGGCGCAGTCGGGGGGGCTGGCGGTAACAGGCTCGCTCGCTCAGCCCTCTAGACCCGCCCCGCTGTTGATTTATCACGAAGGGTTTTTGGCGCGCCACCAATTGAAAAAATACGTTTTTGGGGCCTGTCCGAATGCTTCGAGGTCCCCACAAACCTCTCGACCCCAGCCGCATGCCCACGACGGTCACGACCAACCCCTCTAGACCGCGACAGGACGCTGCCAGGAGGGCCCACGACAGTCCAAGTGGCCTCCAAAATGGTTCAGGATGCCTCCAAAACAGCACCGAATAGCGCCGAGATAGCCCCCAAACCCTAAGCTGGCCCAAGAGACTCTCAATGGCCCAAGGGAGCCCCGAATGAATCACCAAATGACAACAAAAACAGGCAATCTCCATAGGCGTTGGTCATTTCAGTGAAAAGTAAGGGTACAGGGCTTGACCATGAGGTAACGAGCAGAGAACCCTGCTCTTAGGATAATGTCGGCGACGCACCGCGGCACCCCAAAACTCATTTTGATGGCACGCGAGAAGATTTTTTTGATCATGAGATGACGTAGCCGTTGTCCATCGCTAAGATCCCAATAGAGGCGCACGGATTCGCGCGCACCTGGCACATGGGACAGCGCTGCCGTGAGCCAAGACAGCGTCGGATATAGCGCTCGCTAAACAACCCCCCCTTGCACCTCGTTTAAAGTCAGGGGAGGAGGGGCCGAACGCCAGATCCTTGTCCTCGTCCTAGTCAGCTATAGCAAGCCAAGAAGAAGGATAGGTCTATGTTTTGCAACATCCCCAGCAGTGCGCAGGCAAGTACCAAGAAATCAACACGGAACATTAGGGGCGGTCACGATGGCCCCGCGACCACCCATGGATGATCGCGGGGGAACGACAAGCAAATGCCAGTCGTCAAAGCGCGCAGCGAGCGAGGGGATATGACCAAGCGATCAGATCCCCTCGAAAGTAAAAAAGTGAATGTCCGTGTCCGGGCGCTCATGGAAGCTGCGACGATGCGAATATCTATGCCCGTGGCCAGGTGAGGATGACTGCATTGTAAGCATACATGCCCGCGCCAGTGCAAGGATAACTACTTCTTTGAGTTCGAATAGTCGTCCTCACTGGCGCCCGCTGGCCCAGAATAGGGCACCCTTTTGTTGGTGCTGTGTCGTTCTTGCCTCTAGATGGCACGCACCTCTTTACTTCGTACTTGAGGTATTTATTTCCTTCCACCACTTGCTGCAATAACGCGCTCGATGCACCCTGTGGCATGGCCGTGAGCAATCGTATCTCGTGTATCACGCCATTGTACACAATGAACTACACCTCGGTCCATCATCTGTCTTATCCACCTGCTATGTCTCAATAGGGAACGTTCGGTCGGCTTCCTCAAGTCCTTACTTGACAAGGATTCAAAGACCGACCCAGCGTCTGTAGTGAATGAGGCCTTACTGCTACGACCACCTAACTCCAGCATGTTCCTAAGTTGAGCATGCGTTAGGGATCCAACTTTAAGCTCATGTGCGTCGACGAACTCTTTCTCAACCGGTCTGATCACGATTTGCATGCCCATAGCCGCCATGGCGCGCGCCCGCGCGGCTGCGAGCGGGCGGCGCGAGGCTGACGCAGCCGCGAGGAAGCGAGGGGCAGCAACCTCGGCAGCGCCTGGATCGCGAAACGCGCATTAGAAACATATCAACAAGGCTCGACGCGCAGCATGCTGGATTTTAGAAACAAAGAAAGGGAGGTCGGCATTGCAGCCGCGACCCACCTCGAGAAATACCTCAAGCGGATCACACTGGCGCAGATGAAGCGCAGGAAGGCGAAGAAGTCCCCCAGCGAGCCGCTCGCTGTTCGTGATATCCTGGGCCCTGATCTGGGCGGGGGCTCGGAAGAGGACGCGCTGCCTTTGGCAGGCGATGGGGGGCGAGGAAGCCTTCGAACATGCCGGGGGCGAGGAGGGCGAGGATGACGGGGGCGAGGACAGGGGCGGAGAGAGCGCCGCGGGCGGCCCGCCCCCCAGCCCTGGGGGGGGCGATGGCGGGTGCAGTTCGTCACTTGAGGCGCCCGCTCTGACAGTTCCGATTGCGCGGCGGGCTCGCCAGTGCGACGCCGAAGGGGGGCGGGAATCGAGCGGGCCTGGGGGGCGAGCTGGGGAGCTCGAGGGGGGGCCGGGCAAATTGGAGCAGCAGGAACTGAGGGGGGGATGGGTGGAAAGGGGGCCCGAAGCAACTGCCAAGTCGGCGCTGCGCGCGCCGATAGTGCCCCAGCGCGCCGCGCTGTGAAAAAAAAAAAAAAGAATCTGTATCTGGATGTCTCTGGGGCCCTCGTCTCGACCGCGTTCGCATGACAGGCGCTGCGACGCCAGGTGAGGTTGCGCGCGCTGGCGTTCCCCGCGCAGGCAGGCCTTCGCGCGGCTCTGGAATTGCTTGGCGCACGTGGCCACTCGGGGCTTATTGCGTTATTGCTCGCGTTTGAATAGACAAAACCTCCGCTGCCGCGCCGCGATGATAGCGGGCGCGCAACGGCAGTTGCTGACGGCGGAAAAACGAGCCGCAAAACGAACCGAAAACGGCGAGACGGCAATCCAACGACGGGGGGGACAAACGGCGCCCCAAACAAGGAACAAAACAGCGTCGACCTTGAAAACGACCCCCCCCCCCCCCCAGCTTTTCAAAATACATCTAAGCCACAGGAAGCCCCCATCAACCTCCAACTTCAAAGGATTAGTGCACTCTCGCCTGCCACGAAGATCAATCGTAAGTAGTCGATTCGCGTTGGTTTCTTTTCGTTTGGCCTGACGCGCCCTTCGGAGATGGGTGACAGTCCCGGCGTGATTGACCAGAAGAGCGTCTGACCTCGCCTCACACTGCTACCGCAGCTCCTGGAACGCTTTTACTTTTCAAATTGGTACGCGTCGGTTTTCGGACCTCTGTATCTCCGGCCGCCCGAATTACGCAGGATTGCAAGTCGTCCAGATGCTCGGGCACGCCGTCTGGCAGTGATGAAACGCCTTGGCGTCCGCCGGTGCCCAGTCAAAGACTTCCTCGAATGATGAGGAATGGCTTCTGGTCTCTGAAATCGCATCGCAGACCGCGCGCGGCTATGATCAGACAAGAAGAAACAGCGGTTCTGGGTAGTGATGGGGTGCGCTTCCTCGTCCGCAAAAGCAGAAACTCCGACGAAGTCGATCTGAATTCGCCTGTGCTGCGGCCGCCTGACTCCGCAAGTCCACAAATCGTTATCGTCCATGGCCCATGGCTGCACCGGCTGCGACAGTATTCAATGCGAGTGCCCAAAGATCTTAAAGCGACAGAACCAAATTACGCATCCCTGGCGTGTGGTTCCTTGCGGGCCTCGCTGTGTAACAGCCCGCGGAGCCTTCCACGTTGGGCAGGAGTGTGCAAGTCGAGTCCACGCCTAAAACAACCTTCAAATTTGATTTCGCGAAGCTCCGCTGCATCGGCATGACAAAATCGACAACTTCAGTGACCATGCGGCCCCCGCGGCCATGCTCGATGCTGTGGTCGAGCATGTGAGCTGAAAGGAACAAGCAATACGTCGAAAGTGACGATGGCGGCCCAACATGGACCAGCCTTTTCGGCGACAGCGCCTGGCACCCAACGTCTAGGGATTAGAAAGGCTGCCTCCGAGCCCTCCCAAGCAAAACCGGTGAAACCATGGTAACCGTTGCCTGCTGTTGAATGCCAAGAAACCACTTGTAGAGCGACCACAGCCTCCATACCCGCAAATTATTTGAAATATCCGCATGCCCGCTGAGCGCTGTGATGTTTTTTTGGGGGGGGGTTACAAGTGCTCCAACTAAGAAGCTTGCAAGCATCAAGACTGATGTGCGCTGGATCCCCAGGGCCCCGTCAAGCCGTTCGAGTCGTCCGGAAACTCTTGAGCTGCTCGTTGGCCGTCTCTGGGACCAAGCCATCACGAACTGATGCCAGACCCTGTGGGTTCCACTGGTTGTTCCCTGTGGAGTCGATGGAGCCGATTTCGATGATGTCGTTGTCGCTGTCTCTGGCTTCCAGGTGCACCGGACCTCCGTAAACTTGTCCTGCTTGCGAAGCCAAGCCATAGTGAGCCCAGTCTTGTCGTAAACCTTCTGCTCATCAGGATACCACTCGGGGTGGCAGAACAGCTCGTGGGCACTGAACCTGAAGTCCTCGAGGTCGCCCGAAAACGTGTCATTCCAGACGCTTGCAATATCATGCGCGTTACCGGGCGTGATGTTAACCTTCACCTTGTTACTCGTCGAGCCGATCATCTCGAAGTCACCGAATAGTAGGATCGAGTTCAGCTTTGAGCGCTGCCAGCATCTTCATCATCAACGGCCTGGAAATACCTGTAGTGCGCCTGTCTTCGTATTCGCAAAAACCCTTGATCCAAATCGTAGATTACTTCCATTCTCCACTGCTCGCACCCTGTTCCAAAGCGGCGACTCTCTTCTCAATCGGCTCCGTGCGGGCTGAAAGCTGCTCTTGTCCTTGTTCGAGTTTCACGAAACTGGGCTCCAGCTGCTTCACGAACTCCTTTTCGAGAACATCCTCGACCTTGGACCAGAAGTCGGATTCCTGTGTTCCGGCCGGACGTGCATGGCGTCGCCGATCCCGCTCCCGATCAGCGCGCTCATTCGATCTGCTCCGACCCTGGCCACACGTGCAGTCGCGGTTCCGGGTTCCGCAGTCCTGACGGAACGCCATCGCGAACAGACGTAGATGTGCTGTGAAGGGTGTTCGAAAAGGGTGTTGGTTCCGCCAGGGGGCCTGGCGAAAGAGGGGGTGGGTCTCCTCTTGGAGCTCTCTTGAGCTTGAGCCAGCCCTTGAGCAAGACCAACCTTTCGTCCTGAATTGCTCTTTGACGGCCCCCCCAAACCGGCCAAATCGGCGAAAAACCTCAAAACCCATTTCCCCCAAGACCCGTCGGCTCCACGGCGTCGAAGCGAACCGGATCGAGCCGGCCAGAATCGCCATCGAGCCAGGACCGAGCCGGATCGGCCACGGACCCCGAGAAGGGGGGAGCCTGGAGGGGCGGCGGCGTCTCCCTGGCCGGGAGGCCCTCGCGACAGGTCGAGCGCGTACAGCGGGGACCCGAAGAGGGAGAACACCTTCGGGAGGGGGGAAAGCTCGGTGGCACGCTGCCGTTCGGGAGCCCGTCGGCGCAATGCTCCTCCGCTCCGGCCCGAAGTCCCCGGAGCTTCAACACTCAACAGTTTTACACGCTGGCGGGGTCCCTACGGCGGCGTCGCTGACGCTGCTTCTGCTCCCCCCCAGCTGGAGGAACAAACAAGGACATGAGCGTAAACTTTCGGAGGTCCGCGCGGCCCTCCTGAATCTGCGCTGCAGCCCCCTGGCGGCGCCTCCGACGCCGCCAATAGCGCGCTCCGCGCGACAACGAGGGGGTGCGCGGATCCAAGAAATCCGCGCGGACCTCGAGAGTGTTATGCTTATACTATTTGTCTCCCTCGACCAGCACGTCAAGAGTAGCCAGGAGGGGATGAAGGCAAACTCGCTCAAAATCTTTCCGCGGACCTCCCCCATCGAAACTGACTAATTGTTCGAGCCGCGTCCAGCCGTGGCGACGAGGGGCCCCCCCGAAGGCCAACTGCCGTTGCCTCAACTCGACGTCCTCTGACCCACAGGGCGTGTCATGGATCCTGCTTTGGCCGCCCCGACTGGTGACTGGAGGAACCGAAAAACTGCATAAGCATGAACTTTCGGAGGTTCGCGCGGATCTCGTGGATCGGCGCTGATCCCCCTCCCTGGCGCGCGGACCGCCGCCAGGGGGACCGAGCGCAGATCCAAGAAACCCGCGCGGAGCTCCGAGAGTTCATGCGTTCTGCACTGCTTTGTTCCTCGAGGTTTGCTCCCCCGACACCTCCCCGAAGGTGGCTGGGCTCCACTTCTGCTCCCACCGGGCGGCGAGCGCGGCCGCGGAGGCCGTGCGGGCCAGGGTGGCCTGGGCCGCCGCCTGCTCCACGTCCGCCCAGGAGACGGAGGAGCGGAGCCTGTGCGGGATGGGGTCGCGCACGGACAGGTGCTCGTCGAAGAAGAAAAGCTTCATGAACATGAACTTTCGGAGCTCCGCGCGGATTTCTTGGATCTGCTGGAGCCCCTGGCGGCGACTCTGGCGCGGCCCCTGGCGCGCTCCGCGCGCCAGGGGGCGGGTCCAGCGCGGATCCGAGAGATCCGCGCGGACCTCGCAAAGTTTATGATTGCGCCGCTTTTTCTTTTTCGAGCTTGGTCGCCTGCCACTGCTCTAGCGCCGCGTGGATGTTGCTCAGACTGGCGAGGGCCGGCCTGAGCTCCTCTCTCATGTGCGCCTGCGCGACGACGCGGTCCTGCTCGCCGGCGCAGGCTACCAGCGAGACAATTTCGGGGTCCAGGAGGTGCTCCTTCACGCCCTCGAGGCTGTCCAGCTGCAGTGAGGGGATGTTCAGCGAGTGGGACATGACGGAGATCATCGTGTCCTTCTCCCGCACCAGCTCGATCGCGACGAGCTCGTCGAGCATGTGCTGCGCCTCCTTGCAGATCGAGCTCAAGGAAGCCTCGGACAGCTCGGGCGCGGCGCCCGACCTCGCGCCGTGCCTGGGCTGCTGCTGGCCCGGCGAGAACGCGGAGCAGGCCCGGCACCTGGTGGGCGATCGACGCTTTCTCCCTGCCCCTGCCCACGCCCAAACCAGTAGAGTGGCCAGAGTGGCAGCATGGAAAAAAAATCTGGCCTCTGGAGCCGAGCTTTCTATCCATATGCATCGAACGTTGATCGCCGACCTGGCGCAGCCCTTCAGGTGCGCCGTCAGCTCAGAATCCATGGCGGCCTCCAGCCCCGCCGCAAACTCCTGCCAGCGCGCCGGGTCCGCCGCCGCCAGGCGCTGCCCGCCGCCCCGCGCGAAGTCCAGCAGGAAGCCGAAACGCTCGCCGATGCCCCGGGCCTTCGGCGCCGCCGAGCGCGGCCGAGGGGCTGAGGGTGGGGAGCCTCCGCCCGACGGCGGCGAGTTCCTGGTGGAGAGCCTGCTCTGCGAGCTCTTCGGCGACAGCGGCCGCTGGGACGCCCTCTCCGGAAGGCGCGTTGAGGCAACGGTAGCTCAAACTCGCTCCCCGCAGCCCTCCCAAGGTCCAAACGCACCAGTGTCCCGAGCTGCGCCCAACCGTGGCCACGACGGCCCCCCTTGCGGGCCAACTCCCGTTGTCTCCAATTGGCCCTCCTCTGACCTCTGCAGGCTCGCCGCCTGGTGCGACGGCGGCCCGAAGCCGTCGGAAACGCCCGTCGCGAGCGACGCGGTCGACGCGACGCGCCGGGGCGGCGTGCCATCGAGCGCCCTCTGCTCGAGCGTGGCCAGCGCGCCAGGCTGGAGCCTCTGCGGCGCCGGACTGGGCTCGCCCACGCCGCGGGCGCTGCTGGTGGCCGCGGCGAGCGCCGCCACGCGCCGCGGCGGCGAGTCGCCCCTGCCGCGGCCTGGCGCCGGTGCGGGCATGCGGCGCGCGCGCGGCGCGCATGCGCGGCTCCGCGCAGCGCGCGGGCGCGCAGCGCGCTGCGCGGCGGAGCGGCCCGTTGCTGGTGGCGGCGGCGGGCGGCGCTGACGACGCTGGCGGCGGCGGCGGCAAGCGGCGGCGAGCGGCGACGGCGGCGGCCACTGCGGCACCGACGGCGTCGGCAACGACAGCGGCGGCGTGGACGCCGGTGGCGCGCGCGGTTGGGCGGCGCGAGCACGCTGCCGTCGGCGGCGCAGGACGCCGCGGGAAGGGGGGGAGGGAGGGCAGAGGGGAATTCACTGAGCCCCGCCGAATCGCGAAATCGAGTCGGAAACAAATCGGATCGGAATCGTCCCGAATCGAAGCAAGATCGGATCGCCGTGCCTGGCTCCAGCTGGCCCTGGCCGATGGCGGTGGACCACACCGAGTCGAATCAAATCGGAATTCCGGCCTCATCCGGCGAATCGAATCGCATCAAATCGTAGGCAGCCCTGACTGTCCAGAAAGAGGGCATGGGGGGTCGGTCAGGAAAGGGAAGAGGCGCGAGAGGGAGAAAACAAACGAAGGGGGGGGAATGGCCGATCGGGCGAGAAGCGGGGCTGCGCTTCTTCTTGCAACCTGGTGGGTGGGCGACACGCCCACCATGGGCCAGGGGAACGAGCGAGCGAACGACCATCAGTGCGGACGGGCATCCAGGCCTCACCAGTACCAGGTGGAGGAGGCCGTGGTCTCTGGCATATGCTAGTTATGTTTTGTGTGTGGGGGGGGGAGGAGGAGGGAGGAGGAGGAGAGGAGGAGGAGGAGGAGGAGGAGGAGGAGGAGGAGGAGGAGGAGGAGGAGGAGGAGGAGGAGGAGGAGGAGGAGGAGGAGGAGGAGGAGGAGGAGGGAGGAGGAGGAGGAGGAGGAGGAGGAGGGAGGAGGAGGAGGAGGAGGAGGAGGAGGAGAGGAGCGAGGAGGAGAGGAGGAGGAGGAGGAGGAGCGAGGAGGAGGGAGGAGGAGGAGGAGGAGGAGGAGAGAGGAGGAGGAGGAGGAGGAGGAGGAGGAGGAGGAGGAGGAGGAGGGAGGGAGGAGGAGGAGGAGGAGGAGGAGGAGGAGGAGGAGGAGGAGGAGGAGGAGAGGAGGAGGAGGAGGAGGAGGAGGAGGAGGAGGAGGAGGAGGAGGAGGAGAGGAGGGAGGAGGAGGAGGAGGAGGAGGAGGAGGAGGAGGAGGAGGAGGAGGAGGAGGAGGAGGAGGAGGAGGAGGAGGAGGAGGAGGAGGAGGAGGAGGAGGAGGAGGAGGAGGAGGAGGAGGAGGAGGAGGAGGAGGAGGAGGAGGAGGAGGAGGAGGAGGAGGAGGAGGAGGAGGAGGAGGAGAGGAGGAGTTGGAAGAGGAGGAGAGGAACATTCGCTCGCTCCGCCCTGGCGAGCGGTCTCCGCGCGCGCGCGCCGGCGCCTCCGCGAGCGGTGGCGGGGCAGTCTGCCGCTCTGCGCGAGAAGGCCGACGCGCAGCGCTCAGGAGGAGAACTCCTGGCCGCCGAAAGGCGGTGCAGCCGTGCAGGCGCTGGGGAGGCAGAGCGGCTCAGCCCCTACAGTGCGCAGAAGGCAGCCGCGCAGCGCGTGCGCCTTCAGCCTCAATGAGGCCGGGAGGGTAGGGAGGGGGGCCGAAACACTGCAAAGACCGCGGAAGAAAGTCGCAGAGAATAAGAAGAGCATTCTCTCGCTCCGCCCTGGCGATCGGTCTCCGCGCGCGCGCGCCGGCGCCTCCGCGCGCGGCGGCGGGGCAGACCTGCCGCCGCGCGCGAGGGGGCCGACGCGCCGCGCTCAGGGGGGGAACTCCTGGCCGCCGAAAGGCGGCGCAGCCGTGCCCGTGCTCAAAGCTCTTGCGCAGTGACAAGGTTTTGGCGGGCGGCCGCGACTAGGACTTACCAGGCCGACGACCCAGCAAACAGAAAAGAGGCAAGTAGGCGACGGCTGCCAGGGGCGAAGAACAGCACCTGAACCCTGGCGGCCTCGGAAAAAGACGCAAGGACTGTCGAAGCAGCAGCAGCTTGAAGGCAGCGCTCAGCACGCGACGCTCGGCGCCACCTACCTCGTCAGAAAACGCAACGGACGTCTTCTGTAGCTGGGTGAAAGTCAGCAGCGCCTGACCCTCGAAGGCGACCAGGAGCCAAGTTCAGTCCAGCGTAGGCTTTGGCGAGCGGGACGCCCGACGCCGAAAGCATGCAGCTCCACCGATCACGGTGGAACCACCTGCATTCGGCGGGGGCTGGCATCGAATAACACAATCCAACAGGTGAGACTCGCAGCGGCAGCCCTGCGACGATGCCCCCTCGACGGCCCGAGCTCCGCCCCGCGGCGGCGCAGCGCCCTCGCTGGAGGCGGGCGCGCGCCAATCGAGAGAGCCGTCTGGCATCGCCTGCACAGCGACCGCTGAGGCCTTCGGGGCGCCCACGGCGCGGGCCTTATCCCTGCGGGGCCGCGACGGCATCGCTGGACTGGGGCGCGCCACTCGGCGGGGAAGGCGCCGCCTCGGACTCCGGAGCCGGCAAAGCCTCCGGAGCGAGCGCGGGCGCCCGAAACTTGGGGCGCCAGCCAGACGGCGGCGAGGAGGCAGCTGCCCGCTTCGCCCCCTGCCCGCGCGAGTCCCGCGGCCCGCGGCGGGAGCGAGGGGGCTGGCTCGCGCCAGGGACCTCGACGAGAGCCGCTTCGGGATCAAAGGTTCGCACGAAACCAAACCTATTAAGCCTATCTCCCACGGTTCGACTCGCGGCCCCTGGCATCCACGCGGCCCGTCGCCCCACCCGCAGCGGCACGCTGAACTGGTGGGACAGGGGGGGGGGGGCGGTCGCCGGGCGCCGGCACCGCGCGGCAACGTCGTTCGCGCGAGCAGCGGCAACCAATCCCACGCGCGCGGAATTGCCCCATCCGCGAGCTCCGGAGCACCGCCGGGGACTCCGAGAGCGCGCCAGCCCTGCGCGCGCCGGCTGCCCGATAATCACGCAGTGATGCTCGCCGTCCGGACGCGGCACATCGCGGTGGCAACTCAGAGGGAGGCTGGCGCATGTCCTGATGCGCGCGGCGGTTAGCGGTTCGCCGCGCGCACGCCGATTGGCGGAGCATCTACGGCGCGAGCCCTCCTCTGCGGCGGCGCAACGCTCTCGCTGGAAGGGCGAGTGCCGGCCGGCCCAGCGCTCGAGGCGCCTCTCGATCGGCTGCGCGGGACACCTGCTGCATCATCCTGCTCCGCGGGGCCAGCGGGAGTCGCGCCGATTGGCTGAGCAGCGACGGCGCGAAACTCCCCCTGCGGCGGCGTAGCGCCATCGCTGGAAGGGCGCATGCCAGCCGGCCCAGCGCTCGAGGCGCCGCTCGATCGGCTGCGCGGGGCACCTGCTGCACCATCGAGCCTCACCCCGAAGATGCTCCACCCAAGAGCTGGCACCTGAAGACCGAGGGGGCCGCTCGCGAGAAGCAGCCTCTGCGGTCGCGGCCTGCTCGGTCGCCCCGGCCCGATGGGCAGCTCGGGCGACCCCGCGCAACGCTTCGTCCGAGATCCGAGCCGCCATGAAGCCGCGGACCTGAGCGGGGCCCTCAGGGTCGAAGTCCGATTCGGAAGCCAGGGGCGGAGCAGACGCGGCGCGCCCGCGCCGCGGGGGGGTCGTCGGGCACTGCGCCCCGGCAGCTGGCGAGGCGCGCCGCGATGTGCCGCGAGGGGGCGTCGGTGGGCCCGCAGCTGGGGCGCCGGCGCCTGCCGACGACCCTCCGCGTGAGTCGCGGCCGGAAGGGTTCGGGGGCCGTCGGGCAGAGGTCAGGCCGCCGCCCCCGCTCGGCGCTTGCGCGGAGGGACGACTGCGGGAACGCGGGGCAGCGCGCTCCGCCGCGGCGCGACGGTTCGCGGTCCCCCGAGCGGGGCGCCCAGGCGGAGGCGCGGCTTCCCCATCGGGCGGGGGGGGCCGCGCGACTCGCCTGGCGCTTGGCGGCCGCGCGCTGGTGGCGGCGGGCCCGGGAAGCGTTGGCCGACCCCGGGGCGTGGCGTCCCGGGTTCGGCCTGTCCTCGACGACCTCGTCGCGGGGACCAAGCCGTCGGCTGCCTGGCGCAGACGGCTGGCCAGCGGGGGCGCCCGAGGCGTCGGGCAGGGCTGAGCACCAGGCGGCGCGCCCAGCGCGCGCGGACACGACGCGCTCGGACACGGCCTCGCCCAAGGCGGACAGCGCAAAGAAGTGGCCAGCAAACGTCTGGCCTTTGTGCGCCCCCATGCCGCGGCCCTTGGCAAGGGCGAGAGCCTGGGCGGCTCCCCCGCTGCCGCAGCTCTGGGTTCCCGGGGCGGCGCGGCCGCTGTCGTAGTTGAGCAGCAGCGACTCGGCGTCGCGCGGCCGCTTGAAGCGCAGCTCCCGCTCCTCGGCGTCGGTGGCCGAGAGAGACGCCCCTGCTTTGTCAGGGTGCCAGCCTCGCGCCGCACGACGGAACGCCGCTGCGATGGCGCCGCGGCCCGCTCCGTCGGCGACATGCAGGGCAGCTCGCGCATCATTCAGCCTGGCGGCTCGGGCGAAGACGCGCTGTCCACCGCCGCTCGCGGGTCCCAGGGGAATCTCTCGGCCGCTCGCCGCGGCGGGGGCGTCTCCAGCCATGCGCGAGCTCCCGCGCGTCTGATCGGACGCTGGTGGTGCTCGAGGAGAGATAGGCGCAGGGGGGGCGTCGGGACGGGCACCGCCCCCTGCGACGTCCCCCCCCGCACGGCGAGGGGAGCGGGCGGCGACCCTAGCGCTGGCGCTCGGGAACAGGGCGTTCCCGGCCCCGGGCTGCTGAGGGGCCAGGGAACCGAGGCCGCGCGCGTCGCCGCCGCCGGAAGCCTCAGAGGCTGGCTCCGCGACGGCGTCGTCGGCGGCGGCCCCCCCCGCGCCCGAGGGGGAGACGGCCGCCCGACGGGGGCCCGAAGGACCTAACCTACGAGCCGCAAGCAGGGCGACGAGGCGCGCCCATAGGCAGGTGGGCACAGG